AAAAGGTTTGAAGTTCCAAGGTTTTATCAGTACTGACTACAACTGATCAGGGACAAGACACACTTGGGTATGGAAGTTTCTCACTTCACTTACAGGAAATAACAAGACAACTCCTCTTCTCAGTGCACAGGTACTTTTGTTTTTCAGCCATGACTGCAAAGGAGAGCTGCTGCTGCCTGCCCTCCCAAGCCCTTTGAAGAATTCAGTTTAAGTTATGGATGGCAACAGGCACCAATGACAAATCAATTCTTGCCAGAGATGGATTTGGGAGATTCTGCAGGTGATATTACCTGCTGGAATAAGGAACAGATATGTCTCTAAAGGACAGTTAGTTACATCTACAGGTATTACGAAGGGATTTAAACTTCCCTATTGCTTGAGGGGGGAGGAAAAAATGATCGTGAAGAAAACATTTGAGTGAGAACATAGAGGATGAAAAGCAGAGGTGAAATGTAGGAGTTGCTTTATAGATTGGTTGGAGAGCAAAGCAAAGACTCTTTTCTCTGTGCCCCATCCCAGTTTTAATAATGGAAAAATGTATCCAAGAAACTGTGAACCTAACAGTAACCAAGACGTATAATTGCTGAGAGGAATTATTGAGTAAAGCAGGATAAGGCTGCAAGAATTTTAAAAACGTCAGAGTAAATTGGCTGATCTGACAAACAATGTATAGCTAGAGTTATCATGGACATCGACACAACTGCCTTTTTTTTTTCTTACTATTCAACAAGAATCTTTGTTTATCCATTTTATTTGCAGAAGTCAAACCCAAAATAATAACCCCAAAAAGTTATGATACTCCACATTCTCCAAATAAACTAAGGTAGTTTCATTTTTACCTGGTTTTAGAGCAACACAACTCAAATAATTTCTTATAAAATAAAAACACCATTTTTCATATTTCCCCTACTGAAATGCTCAATAAAGAACATTTAAAGAATTAAAGATGCAATGCAACATAGATATATTTAGAAAAAGATGCCAAATTAGATAATAATGGTAATTATAATCTCAGAGGTCTTTGATAAGTCTGCATTTCTGCTACTTTTTGTGCTTTTATTGCCCTGTCCCTTTAGACTATGTTAATAATATTAAACTCAAATCTTAACTGAAAACACTACAAGTTCAACTGAACAAAACTCAAATGTTTACCATTTTACCCTGAATCTGTCAGATATGTAGCAACAGAATAAAAATACACTTCTTACCCTTTTTATTCAGGGTGAGAAGGAAAAATCAGCTGAATTTTCAAAAGCACTTAAGTGATATCAGAAATCTAAATGCCATTTTTAAAAGTAGCTTTAAAAATCAGATTTCATCGAGAATTGTGAAATTTTCATTGCAAGTTTCCTTTTGAGAATTCAACCAGCACACTTAGCAAAATTACCAGGTGTTTCTGTATTTTTCAAAGTCTGCCTCTTACGACCTTCAGCATTTATTATAAACTGTAGAGACTTCCACTTCTAAAAGCATTAATCGCTTTGGAAAACAGGACCTTTCCTAGTCTAGTGACTGTACTCTGGAGCTGCAGACACATTCCTCAGGGAGCACGATACGGGCTCAAAAGCACAGAGGACGACTCTCCAGCTCTGCCCTCTTGACATGCTCTCTCTGAAAGGGCTCTGAGAACTCAAGTCTTGCCATGGAGTCTCAGCCCAGCTGTCCCAGGAGACAACCTGCTCTCAGCCTATCAATTTTACCAGCTTTATCCATCTGTTTTGTCCTGGTAAGTTCTACTGGTTATGGATATAAATTTAAACAGCCCCTGAAGTACTTTGTGTTTCAGCTTCTACCTTGTCTCTTTTGGGTGTGGGATTTATGCCCTTTTTCACATTCACCCTGAAGGTGTGTGGGAGCCAAGTTACACCAGACTCGAACTAAAATCTTTTCATATATCTTTGAAAGAAAACTGGGAGAAGTCATATTCATGGCACAGACAGATATAGTTACTGGATTCCTATCAGCCCAGTGATGTTTGCAGAATTACATCTGGTTTTACCAGTTCTGAATCTTCCTGTATTATGGAGCAGGTTATGTTATAAATATTTATCTGAGCAAATCTAGTATTCACACTGCTAAATCAGTAGATTTACTGATTGAGCCCTATTAACAATATTTGTACCAATTTTTGTCAGCATGTAAAACGCACCTCCCACAACTTAACGCCTCTTGAAACCCCTGAAACATCAGCAGTAACCTGATTTCAACTTTTTTACAGTCAAACATTGCAAGCACCTCCCTACAGGGGGCGGGGGAAGTGTTCAGAAAGGCTTACAGAGATAATGTTTACTTAGGCTGTATCATTGATTAGGAAACGTGGCCAAGACCAGTAATTACAACCGTGCTAAATTGCACGGAAATTCTGTAACACTGACATTTCACGGGAAGCAAGGTGCAAAGCTGAAGGAATAAAAGCCAACACTGAGTTGTCTTACCTAATGATTTCCAGTGTGTCTGCTGGGAAAAATGCTTTTTGTGGACCTGGGTGATGTAGACAGCCAGTATGGGCCTGACAGAAGAGCTGCACACCAGCTCCCACCAAGAGCCTCCAGTGGAGAAGCTGGACAAGAACACTAACCCAGCACTTCCAAGACATCCACACGCCTTTTAAATCCCTCCAGGGATGGGGACTAAACCATTTCCCTGGGAAGCCAGTGATCCTCCATTCCTAACATAGATTGGTAGACAGGTTTCATTCAGCTCACACAGAATCCAGTCCAAATCTCGACAAAACCAACACAAGTCCACTGGGGCATTTCTGTCACCCCTTCAGAAGCCCAGGGAGTCCCAATCCTCAAAGCTTCATTTGACCACAAGCAGATTTCACCCCCATTGGGGTGAACAGCTCCCACCCCAGGCTTGCAAGCACATTGAGGTGACGTCTGCTTGGACAATACGATTGGCAACTCTGTCTTTTAAACAGGTTTGGTGTTTTTTTTTTCCCTAATTCCTTTCTCAGGACTGTTAGTAAAATCCCTTACCATTACCGAGTCTGATCTAAGTAGTAAACAAAGAAAATTAAATTAATGCCATTCTCAATAACATGTAGAATAGAAATTGCAAGCTAAGCAGCTGCCACTTATTCCTAGTAACTCAAAGTATTATATTGAAAGAAGTTTTCCAATAACATATATTGATTTTGTCAGGTTTGTTTTGGGTTTTTTGTTTTTTTTTTTACCCAAGCAACATATGTTGCATGTTCTGTACTTGTGGGGCTCAAAACACACAGGTTTCATTGCAGTATCTCTGACTTTTGCCAAACAGAGGTTGAAGAAAAGCAACTTAAAACAACATGGGATAAAATCTGTCTCAGGTCAAAATGTTGGGTTAAGAAAAATCTTGTGGGTAATGCAGTGTACTAAAAGAATTGATTATATATTTACATATAGAATTGATAGGCAGCTGAATTGATGCTTGACTACATTTACTGAAATCATGCCATTAAGTAGTAAAAAAAAATACTAAGAATTATGTAAAAGGATAGCAACTATATAAGTTTTTTAAGTTCCAAAGTATTCATATAATTCATTTCACTTAAAGTCCAGATTCTCACTAATATCCTAATAGCAAGTTGAAATCGTTTGACAAATGATGAAGAGTTTGAAAAGGGATGTTTTTAAACCACTCTTTGAAATAATAAAATGGCAAGCAATTCCCAGTCCCCAAAGACAAAGTATTATCCTGAGTTTGACAGACATGTCAGCAATTTGCTGTAATTTGTGTAATACTCAGTCTTAGGGCTTAGTTTATTCCAATACTTTCATCATGACTAAGCCTAATGACAGAATTCAGTTCAATCAACTCTCTGAAAAGACCAAGAACCTAATTTTTTACATTAAAAGAAAAAAAAAAATCAGCATTTTTCATCACCTGTACCCTTTGCCATTATGAAAATAATTAGTCTGTATAAAGTAGAGTCAGTTCAGCACATGAAAACTGACATGAAATCCTGGATATTTATTTTTTCCCTTGAATTTTGTAACAGTGTTGGCTCAAAAACACTGTCTTAACCATTTCAGGATTTAAGACTTGATTTAACAGACACAATAAAAAACAATATTGTCTTACTTTCAATGTATTTCTGATCTACTCAAGAATACCACTTTGGATGACCATGACAACAGGTTTGTAGGTTCTGCTACTTCTGAACTGGTACTGATCCAAAAATCTGCAATGCATTGCCTTTATAGTGAAAAGGGAACTTTCCGTTCCAGAAGCCAAAATAAACTCCTCTGCCCCCTCAAATAACTTTCAAAAGTTGGCAGGAAAACCTAGTTTCTTCCACACTCACTGCTAGAGAAAAGTGATTATACTCTAATATTAACATGTTATATCAACTTTCAAAGCAGTGAAAAGATTCCACAAGGGAAAAAAAGAATAAAATCAAAACCCAGGCGATAGATATTTTACAATAATTTATAATGTTAAAATAGATTATAAAGAATAAAAAAATAAACAAATTCTGGTCCTTCAGAGTGCAGAGGTCAATTTTTTCATCATAAACCACCACAGACTAAAGGTTCAATCCACCATTTAGATAAAAACACAAAGCCAGGCTTTATTTTTGTGCCAAAAATTACTCAAGAATTTCTTAAAGCACCAAATATTAAAAAACATCATATAAACCTTGCTTTTCAACAGTGTTATTTGGCAATCAGTTAGACCTAGGACAGCTGTTCTATTGTTTATATTTCTATTCACTTTGAATAATCTATTTCAATTCATGTACATGAAAGATAATAACATATTTAGCCATAAAACATTGCTAAAGCAAAACTATTGTGATTAACACAAACTTACGTTATTAAGAATTCCACTAGCTTTGTGCATGAGTAAATTCCAATAGTTTTGTTATGAAAGCTTCCCAAGCATGATGAGAAACTGAACATGAAGAAAAAGTCAAGGTTTGTAAAATTGATTCCACATAAAACAAATCACATTAAGTCTTAACATTAGCACCTGATTGCATTTAAGACAAAAAAACATGTCAAGGTACTTACCTGTAAATCTGTTGAATATTTTCAGCTTTGATTTCCTTGAGAATTTCATGGTAGATATGAGGATTATTTGGTTCTTGAGATGTTGGGGGAGAAGGGCATTTTTTGCGTGCATAATATCCTATGACAATTCCAAAAATAAATAAAATCAAGGCAGTGCAAAATACTTTCAGTATCCGAGAAAAACTGCAGCGGTTGCTCTTTGGTGCCTGTCTCGTGTAGTGGGAGATGTACTCGGGGTCTTCCTGAAGCCTCTGGAATCTTCCCTTGGGAGAAGATGAAGCCTGGATGGGTTCGAGATCAAGGTCAGGGCTCTGTGAGTTCCCCAGGTGATGCTGGACTGCACCATCCAGTCGGAAATGGTCAAAGCCGGGCTCCTCCAGTTCTTTTTCCATGTCCCATTCCAGTTCCAGCGCTGTGGCTTGGAGCTCATCGCTGTCAAGGTATGGAGAGTGCCCCTGTGCTCTCTGGTCTGCGTTCACTTTGTGATAGGCCATCTTTTTATCTGTTAGAACAAAATTAAAAAAAAAAAAACACAAATGTTTGTTTCCACGCGCAAACATAAATAACCTATTTATTCTTCGTAAATGTGGGAGAACTAAACATAGACAATAAAAAGTAAACACTGGGTTCTCAGTGTTTCACCTTCTCCATTTCCATCATCCTGTCTTCTTTTGTAGGATCAGCAGTCCATGAACACCATCAGTGGGGAGAGAAGATACTTAAGAGAATATATTGTAGGAATGTGAATAAAGGGAATTTACAAGTGCCAATGGCAAACCACAGAAGTTATCCAATTATTTTGTCAGTCCTCAAGATAATATTAAAAAATTGAGTGAAGGCACAGAGTTTCCAAAACAATTATTTGTTACCTGAAAGTAATTTTAAAGCTTTACAACTGTTTGTATCAATTTGATTTCACACACCGTTCAAAATAATGCTGCTAAAATAAAGTAGAAAAATTAGAAATAATATAAATTGCCTGATGTGATTCTAAACGCGAGGAAATGATAAGTTAAAGAAATTTCAGGGTGACACTGTACTTACACATCAATAAAAGCCTTCCATTTAGACGGAGCATTCTATTATTTATAGGTATTTTAAATGCATAGTTCCTGAATGACTGATGAATTTACTTAGAAATTGTCCCAGCTGTTTTGCTCCACTTATTTTTCCCATTTTAATGAATCAAAAGCACTGCCAGGTAAGTATTTGTAACAAAATCGTTCCTTTAATAGCAAGGCATAACTGTGGCACTTCTAGATATTTCTATGGAAGTAGAAGCCTCTAAAGAGAACTCTGACCTCCAGTACCAACACTCAAAGTCAATTTTCAACAAATCATTTTTTAACAGACTGCAACAACAGGGTGCCTTTCCCTCCATGCTTTGACAACAGCCATTCCAACACATAAGCATCTGCAATTTTGGGCTTTTCAAACATCGGACTCACTTCTCAATTAGAATAAAACGAAGATAAAGATATTAAACCTCTCACTGTGATAAATACTAGATTGACACCTACAACACTATATTATCCCTCCATTTTTATGCTTTAAGGTGTTTTCACTCCTCAAGACTTACCTCCAAATAACATTACTGAGGCCACGTAACAGATGAACCAACTCTACTGGCAAAGTAGAATTTCAGCTTTTTGAAGCCCTCTGAAGAGCGCGAAGTGTTAGCAAGCTCTGATATAATGAAACAGCCTATTGTCCACTGAAAGGCTATCTGGCTCTATACAATAGCAATTTACAGATCCTATTTTCCCTGTACAGTCATATAAATATCCCTGGCCTATAACTGTCAGGCAGCCCAGGCACAGTCAGGAGAGCCCACACGCTCCGAGTGGAGCTATTGCAGCCACTTGGCAAATCGATTCTCCACCTGCAGTCCAAACTCTTCTATATGCAGTGGAAGCAACAGAGTTTAGAGTGATCAGAACTAAAGCCTCTTAAATTAGCGGGAAGGTCTCCATTACTTATTTAAATAACGATAACAAATTTGGTCTTTAAATTCCAGCTGAGTCAACAAATGGTTTACACCTGCAAAGCCTTTGTGGCTGACCTTTGCAGACTTTGTTAGCCCAGCCCTCAGGTTTGTGAAGGATCCTCTGAGCTACAGCTTTACTATCCCCGCAGTTGTGCATCACCTCAAGATTTCTCAAGGGAGCACTCTGTCTCCTTATCCAGGTTGTTAAGGAAGACGTTCAGTAGTGCCAGCCCCAGAACTGATCCTTGGTGCACTGAGCTTCTTGTCAAGCACCAGCTGGACATAAAATGATGTATTAATGTTCTCTGGAAAACTGAGCTACCTAATTTCCAAGCTATTTATCTGCCCTTTCACTCTCTCCTCTTTTGCTAGTGGAGGGATTAATTTGCAAACCAATGAGAGATCGCTACTGGATAATATCAACTGCCCAATAAACTCATCTTTTCAACTCCATTTCATACTGCTCTTTATTGGAAGTTAAAGACCAGTGTTTCGTCCTTTAAAGCAGAACAAATTATTACTGCATTCCATAAATATATATTTTTGACTCTAGAATTCCTAAAGTCATTTAACAAACTGTTTTAGCCAAATAAGTAAATCCTTAGCAGATTAGCACTGTAATAGCCAAAAAACAGGAATTAAGGCAGTTTTTCAGATGCAGTTTCATGGCTAATATTAATCTTGGTGAGTTTAAAAACGTTGACCATTGCCTAACTGTGGTAGTTAAGTTTTCCCTGTATTTATGACATTTTAAAAATGTATGTTATTGTTCAATGGAGTGTATTAATAAAGGGTATTTAAATCTACACATAAGTGCATAATAAAAATCCATATGAAATTTCTTCAAATGGCTGTTAATGCAGAGGGGTAGTAACCACATTCCACAGCTTAGTATCTCAGCAATTCCATTTTCATTCAAAGCACCAAAACCAGTAACCTCACTTCAGAAAAAAAACAAAAAACAAAACAAAACCACACACACAACTAAATGAACTAAAAATTAAAAATCAATATTCAATTCAGTTTTATATTTGAAACCAGTCTTTGGAGTACGGGATCTTATTAGCAACGCATGTCCTTCAGTTAAAGAATGCAAAGAATGCAAGAGTAGCTGCAGTGAACAACTTCACTTTTTCTTCTGATATTTCTAAGTTCATTATCTGAGTGTAAGGACACAGCACAACTTGCCTCAAAGTATCTGAGATCAGGGCCCACAGTGTATTTAACCACTTTAACAGAAAAGGGTCTCCTGGTTCTCAAGGCCCAAGCCATTTGTGCCACGTAAACCACAGTACTGGTTCTGTTTACTACTGGGTATTTAGCTGTTTAAGGAAGTAGGCATGACTTAAAGATTAGATAATAAATGCAGTTTTGGGTGGAAACTAGAAGGATAAAGAAAACACTACACAGTGATTTGGAAAAAAAACAAATTGACACTAGAAATATGGAAAAAATTTTGAAGTCAAGAAAAACCACTACAATACCCTGGTTCATTCTTCTCTATAACACAGACCGTAAAATGAACATATTTCTGAAAGACATTTTTGAAAACTTCAGGAGATAGAAAATTCATCCCATCTGCCAGCAAGCTGTTTCAACATTTAATTGTTGTTAAATACATGTTTTATTATAAAGATAAAAGAACAACTGCAAAATGCCAGAAGTCTGAATATGCACCGAGTGAGCTTTAAAGCCATTCTGTAGGGACAGCAAAGGGGATCATAAACTCTGGAATACTGGACAGAGCCAAGCTGATTACCAATAAAGCTGATGTGCATTTCTGTACTTCCACTGATTTGTGGGGAGAATGTTTATCGAGAGGTATCAAACCAAACCTAAATATCCTTTCAATTAACCATTCCCAAGAAATCAGGGAAGTCAGCTTTGTCAGATCGTTATTGCCTTAACGAGCCCATTTCAAAACTATCTACCTGTTCTTTGACCTTAAAAATAATGCATTTACATCCTGATAGGTGCATCTTGTTATGAAACCACCAGAAACTTCTTTTTTGACAGCTTTCCTGCTTTAATCTCTTACCAGTTTGAAAACTGCCCAATAAGGTCGACAATGAAACGTCCTGCATCTGCACCACTGCCACTCTCCGATGCCTCCACAAGAGAAAGGTCAGCTTATACAAACATTTTATGAAAACAACAAGGAAAGAGCAATATGAACATGCCACAGTAAATTCTTTGTGACTGGTGCTGCAGTTGTTAAATCCAGTTCATAAACAGCTGGGACAATTAGCAGGCTCGTGCACAGCAGGGAGCGTGGCAAGTGTCAATGTGCTGCCCCCAGAGAATCCTTCTTGGGCCATTTAGTGTTCATTACTGAAAAGGCAAACCTCATACTGCAACTGTACCAAAGGCATTGCAGCCTCTTTGTGTAGTTATGGAACATGAAATCCAGGCTTGTTGGCTCTTCTCATTTTAAGGGCTCTTTCATTTTTATTTTCTCCTCAGTATCTTCTATACTGACTGCCTTTGCTGTAAGTCCTTGCAATCTTTTTGTGTCTAGGTAAACCCCTGAACTAGATATAATGTCACCTGTTTAAAGCTGTAGTTTATCACGGAACTCAACACCCACTGCACTTACAAGTCTTTAAAGTATATATGACAACAATTTAGTGCTTTGCTAAACGAGATGATGCCAAGTTTCAGGCCCAGACAAATTTCTTCAGAGCTCTAAATCCCTGACAAAAGTTGTTTGCAGAAAAGATTATGATGCCCTTGTCAACAGCAAGGTTACACTACCCTGTAATTAAAAAAATAATGTGATATTTCCATCACCACTGCCCTAATTTCCTGCAGTAATGATTTCTCCCTTCGCTCACATTTGGGATATGGGCTTGGCAACCAGTTCATTTACAGCAGGACAGTTAAATAACTTGTCACTCCACACAGCCACCATGCAAAAACAAATGACAAAACTCACCAGTTGCTCACATTTCACTGAATCTGAACCCAACCTGAAAGACCAAGCAGAGTGATAACAGAAGACAGAATAGAGAGAGAAGACAGAAGAGACTGGAGAAAGAAGATCTGTAGAACTCAGCCAAACAGACACTAAGTTGTCCCTTCATTAATAAGTGCTTTTTGGCATACCTAAATGTTGTGAAATATTTAACTTCTTCAGAATCTCTCAACCATTTTATTCTATCATGAATGGACTAGGATAAAATTAACATCAACACAAAGGATGACCCCATGACAAGTAGAGGGTCCATAGTACCCCTTGATTGATAAGACTTGTGCACGACGATGTCCTGCTGGAACAAGAGTTAACTTGCCTGGGATCAAACACATCAGCCACCTGAGCTATAATATACTGGCCCACCCAGATGTGCATAGGTACACAGATGTATTTGCCTGCTGCCTTTCCAGAACCTCTGAATTCCTGGGACTTGGAGAAAGAAAAATTGCTGGGAAGCTCCTTCTTCCCAGCAAACAACTATCACATAAAGATGAGGCAGCTTTGGCTCGTCTCTAATATGCTGGGCATGTATTACTAACAT